AAAAGTTGACCAAGATGAGGTTTTTTACTATATAAAGATATATTATATTTCTTCTTAGAATGACCCAAATATTACACATACCAAAAATTATATTTTGGGCTAGTCACACTTTAAGTTTTCCTTTGATAGAACAAACGAGTACCCATAATGAGAATAGTAAAACAGAAGTCATTGATCAAACAGATTTAGAAAATTTAAATGCTGGTGGTAATGCGGAATGCCAAGTGGAACAGTCGCCGACAGTCGGTCAAACAACGGATAAACAAGATGATTTGAAAACTGACAATGAAGAAAGCGAATCAGATGTGACTTTGAATGAAAATGTAAGTACAAACATTTATTTAAGAATATCACGATGATCATTCGGTTGAAAAATAAGAATTCTATTTTTACAACATAACAATTACTGCTTTTTGATATATTCCATATTACTATTACATGACTAGAATTATATGTTCCTTACTGGGTCTTTACTTCTTCGCTTACCAAATAATTACTAAAATGTACCCAACTACGTTCAGTTTCTACAGGATCTTAGACACTTTCGAATTAGCAACAACAACTTTCCCAATACAGACAATATTACGATAAACATTAAGATCACCAATGGCGCAACAACTACGATATTTTCCAACTTGTTAAATACATGGATTAAATTCAGACTATCTGACAACGAAGACATATCCTCGCCATAATAAAGATTTTTGATCAAAGTAAACCCACAAAGAACTGTCAGAGTAGAAAGTGAAAGTGCTTCAATCGCGTTGTCACATGGTCGGGTGAAAGGTTTAATGTACATGTGAGATGTGAGAATGGCGACACAAAGTATTAACGTTAACATCATTTTGAGTCTGTTGTCGTGGACAAAAGTCAATACGAGAATCAGTGCCAGTCTTCGGAATATCAAGTAGCCTTCCCATGGGAGAATAGAGTCGCCAAAACATAGGAATGCTTTGTGAGGTCGAAAAGGACCAAGGAGGACTCGAAGAATGGCTGTCTTTAATACATGTTGTTCAGAGGCTTCATTGGCTCTTAGGCTATTGTCTTCGAACGTTTGACTGCTTTCGGATTCTTGTGTTGTTGCCAAACAACAGTTGTGCTGACGTGCCCCCTGGCAACATCCACAGTTGTCTGCTGAGCATGTTCCATGAGATCCGTTTTCCTGATCGTCTTCGCGAATACCACTAACGACTCTGCTAGATTCCATTGTATTATTACTAGTTCTTTTATGAAAGCGATAATCTCTGACCAGCAAGTATACCCAAAGACAACAAAATGGCAGTGGAAATATACATGCGATGCAAAACTGCGCCACAGAAATACGATCCATCTTTAAAAGGTACGCACCAAGCACAGGCACAAGACAAAATGGTAATACGGATGACACCACATAAGCAAGAAGAAAATATTGAAATGTTTGGTAGCATTTGATATTACCATCAAGAAATAAAACTTCCTTGTCACCAACTGGTACACAGTGAAGAAGAGAGAGACAAAGTTGAGTCGAAGAAGCATACATTAATAATGAGATGTAGGTGAAGGCTGAGGCTACACGTGCTTTGAACTTTGATGGGCGCGGTTGGGTCTCATTTATTACCAGAGACCTCATCTCGATGCGAACAGGTTTTACAGGTTTTAAGAACACTTGAAGCACACTTGTTACAAGATAAAGGATTCCTAGTAAAACTAACAAACAGTATCCCACAGAATGCAGGATAGCAGCTTTTTGAACAGGCTGGAGATTCTGGACAGGGCAACTAAATAATGAAACGTCGACTAAAACCATATTCAAGACTCTTCCAATAATGTCCTCAGGTTTAGCAATAATTTTATTTTTATTTTGAGGTCCCACTGTGCTCCGAAGTAACCGTACGACTTGGTAATAATAGAAAATCACTTTAAGTAATCCGCTGCTTTGCATTCGCTTACTTTCTACGTTTCTATCAGTTTTCCGTGTTTCAAAAATACTCAAACTGCCAAAAAGAGTTTTTCTGACAATGCTAACAATCTCCTCGTGGTAGAGAAAGAAGATTAAGTATAGAAGTAGCATCGCGAGTGCGCTAGGAATGAATAACGACCCCGAGCATTTTGCATTTGCAGTACATTGCGAACTAAACAGGGTGTCTGACATTCCTCCTGAACACCGTCCACAGAGCGTTCCAGTTCTGTTACCATGGCAACTATCATAGCTGACGCAATCATTGGAATCACAGCAATATCCCGGCGGGCATTGCGCAAAGGTTATTGAGGTGTTAGTTTTGTACCCCCAGAAATTTGGCTTGGCCTTGACCGTACCACTGATGCAGTTCCCACCTCTGGGACATTGCATACATTTGATGTGATTGCTTGTGTTGTAAATGAATTTCGCTCTTTTTAGAGCATACGTTTTCGGAGGACACTTCGCGCAAGTTATGTAAATATAGGTACAACATATAGTGTTTTCATAAACGTTACAGGTTTTTTGAGAATTTAACACATACCCTTGAGGACATAGGATTTGGAAGCTATGGTTAATAAGAACTCGGCTTGTTTTATAGAAAGGCATACGTAGAAAAATGGTTTCTCCTGTCTTCAAGGCGAGTATATTGAATATGTTTTTACCTTTGAAGGAAACAAATGAATGTTCTTTCGCATATAACTGAGCGGCGAACGAAACCGTTTGGTGGTTTTCAAAGTAGCACTCGCGAAATGTTACGTTCGAGAGTTTAGATACGATCACAACGGCAGAAAACCGGCTTCCCGCCTTGTTGTCATAGAAACGACATGACGTCACTCGGTATTTGCCTTCTTTGAAAAATATCGCTGGCACGTAATTTTCTAAGTCTCGTCCATTGAAATTCCTCGTGAACGTATTGTTGTGTATAGTCACTGTCGGTATTTTACCAGTGGACGCATACATCCGATGATATACTTTGGACATTTGGACAACTAGAGCAGCAGAGTTATTTCTAAAAGTACTGTTAAGAATTTCTACCATGAAAGGTGCATCTATGCTGAACCTTAGCATAAGATTAACCGCAGGCAGTTTATTCAAGTTGTTTTCTACTCGGATATTCCTTAAAGATACGTATATTCCATTGCGGAGTGTCTCGACCTCTCTTATTAATAATGATGAAAATCCGTTCTTTGACTTTGTCATTCCAAGATGATTAACAAATGCCGATTCCCATATTGAGATATTAAGTACAAGTGCATGCTGTGGTTTTATTGCAAATAAATGCGTAGAGACAGTGCTGTGTTCTCCATCAAAGACGCTATTACGAACAAACACTTCCAACACTCGCGAATGAGATTTATACGACTTCTTGTAAAACGTTTGGAGCGAAATCGGATTCCTTTTAAACACGCTGTTTGTTATATGGGCTGTTAGGTTAGTGCATTTTAATCCAATGGCCCGATATGTTTTTTCTTGGAAAGTTGAATTGTTTATATTAATGAAACAGTTTTCAGACTTTGTACTGTGTATGCCATTTGAGTTATTTGCAAAAGTTGTATTCTCTAATACGAGCTCAAATGCGGACGCCTCGGTGCATTCTGCTACAGTGTGGGCCGATCTGAATACCAAATTATGGAATGCGACTTTGGTTACTTTCAATTTCGAATTTTTTATTACAAAAAGTTTGCAACTTTTCTTGCATTTTATTATTGGTTGTCCATTATTCCCGTGAAATGAAATCGTCTTATTCAACTCGATAGAGCATGTTGATTGTGTTACATTTTCGCATTCCATATAAGGTCTTCCTGGTGCATAATCAATATAGATTTGATCTCCATCACTAGACATCATCACTGCATGTCGCACAGTACGACATGGCATAGTCCAGTTACCACAATTGTTGTGATTGGTGCCATTCTTTCTGACATACCAATGTGTTGAGAGTGCATTTTGATTTCCTGCATGAATGATATTTAACAAATATAAAACATTTTCCGTGTTGATATACAGTTATATCAACACGAGTGGAAATTGGGAAAACGAGAAATTGTGTGGAAACACGACGCCCGAAGGGCGGAGTGTTTTCACACAATTTCGAGTTTTCCCAACTTCCACGAGTGTTGATATAACGATATATCAATACGGGAAAATGTTTTATATTTGTTTTATAATATAGCAATGTCAAAAGCCCGAAGAATAAGAAAAATTTCCGTGTTTACAAGCGGCGGAAAATTTCCCGTGTTGACATGGAGTTATATCAACACGGCTCTTAGCCAATCAGCGTTCAGAATTTACAAATGCTATATTATATATATATATATATATATATATATATATATATATATATATATATATTTATTATATGGACAATGGTGTTTTACTGGAAACTAAAACACTCGTAGAACTCATACGTCACTACATCCGGGGCCAGGTGCGCGTAGTATTTTCCGTATTTTACCCCTGCTAGTGACATACGAAGTTTTGAACTATTTCCCGCCATTTTCACTGTTGTTGTTTTGAAAATACAAATGGTCTTTGGTTCGTATTTAAAACGAAATTAACGTTGGAAATAAAACGAAAACATTTAAAAGACATCTTGAGATAAGTAAAATTTATTCTAGTTTTATGTTTGCAGTATAATTTTAAAAAATATCGCTTTTATACTGGTATTTCGCGTGCTTATTTACATGTCGTCTTTGTGTGTATTTTTGTCACTCTGAGTAAGTCCATATAATAAACAGAACATTAAACGGTTGCGAGAAGATATGGATTTATGTTCTCGTGTCAAAAACAATATCTCACTCGTTCGCTGCGCTCACTCGTGAGATATTGTTTTTGCCACTCGAACATAAAATCCATATCTCTTCGCAACCGTCTAATATCCTATATTTATTAGAATCTAGTTTTCCGTGAAATTGCTTTTTTATGACACGTGAATCGTGAAACGGCTTTTTTTTTCGTTGTGAAACGTGATCCATACCCCCCCCCTTTCCCACCCTCTATGATTTTGGGACTGATTCTTATGCAAGTAACTATTTTATAGTGTACAGTTAATTTAGACGCAATAGTCAAGTCCAGGGACGCCGAAACGATGTGAAGACAAGAGGGGCAGATTTTCGTGAAAGGGCACTTTTGACTTGATATATATATATATACTAAGACATGCAGTTCTACACAAAATGTGCGGTTCTAAACACATTTGTGCAGTTCTTAAAACACAAATGTGCAGTCACCAATCTAACAAAAATAGCCTTAAAACAGTCTTCTCATTTACTCGTTACCCTTGTGGATGCTCCAGAAAATTCCAGAAATGCTGCCATTAATTGAGCATCAAAAATATAAACGTTTTCTGGGGGGGGACTCCAGACCCTCCTATTTTCCTCACAAATCACTTACGTGCTGGAGTAATGGAAAAGAAGGTAAAATTGAGGCGAGCGAAGCTCCCCAAAAGAGATTATAGTGGGATATTCATTTCTGCCTCAAATGCAAGTTTAAGGTTGTTATATATTGAATATCCATGATTCCCAGTTACATGTTTTCAGAACTTAAGAGCCTCTAGATTCAAATTGTTTTGGGGAACACCCCCTAGCTACCGCACCCAAAATCGAGTTTGTCTGGCCTTTCTCCAATTCTCCCATGACCACACCATTATTCTGTCACCTATATGCAGGTAAAAAGTCCTTCGACTCCCCCCCCCCCCAGTCAAACACCCGTTGCCTACGTAACATCCCTATATGTGCAGTTCTAAATTTTTCTTAAAATAAACCCTGTAATGTCTGATGCCAAATGTACAAATATTTAATACGCAATTGTCGACAATATATAGTCATAGTTCCGGATACAAATTTGGATACGTATATAAAACAGTTGAACTGTATCTTTATTAATTTCAAAAAAATTATGCTTAACTTCGCCAAGACGGTATCTTTCAAACTTCCGATCAATCACTGAATAAAAATAACGAATTGCTTTTCAAAATGGCGTCAATTACAATTACGAATTTTGTTTAATTGCATAAATATTAAAAGAATATAATGTTGCTTTCAAATTTAAACATGTACGCGTACGTGCCGGTATTGTTCAGACTAGCTTGTCTCTCTTTTTGAATGGGTGCATACTATATATTCTTTATTTACATTAAATCAACATAATCAGTGGCGGCGCCAGGGGAGGGCAAGGGGGGGGGGCAAATGCCCCCCCCCAATTATTTTTTGCCCTCCCCCCATTCCCCCCCCCCCTCAAAAAAATTTATTAGTGACTGAGAGCGACCAAAGGCTACACAAGCGTTTTGTCGTTATCGGAAAATGTATGGTTTATAAGTTGTCATTACTCAGTGAATGCGCGTATACATGAAACTGTCTTTTACAGTTTCAATATTAGTTTGTAAATCTCTGAATGGTAAAACTTGCCAATACTCCAATAATACGTTTCAAAAAAGACAAAAAAGCTTTAGTTTTGCAAAGTTAAATTCTCAAACGTGTAAAGGCCCACACAGACCGGACGTGATTCGGCAACGCGACGCGAATTTTCAGTTTTCAACTGACAAATAAAACCGTCAACGGATAAAAATTTTACAAGGTATGCAGACCAAATAGCTAAAATTGCTAAGTGGTCCCGAATATTTGAAAAACAATGAAAAATATTAAAGTCAAATGTCATCGAAAACTGAAAATTCGCGTCGCGTTGCCAAATAGCGTCCGGTCTGTATGGATGAAAGTATTACGAAATTATCTGAATAAACCACATCGTATATACGGGGGGCGAATATCCTAAAGGGGGGG